GTTTTGAGAGGGGGGGGGGGGGGGGGGGGGTGTTACCCCGGTGTACAGGTCCATTCAGTTCCTGTTGTGGACAGACAAAAGTAGCTGGTATCAGTTACTGGGTAGCACACACAAGACGCTACGCTTAGGGTGAAGCAAGTTATTGCACGAGCTAGTCCATACCTCAAGCGCTTTTAAGACCATTTTACATCTGTCATCAGGGGTCCCAAGTTGGGGAAATCCATTTACAGGAGACTTTGGAAGTTTTCATAGACCCTCAAATTCAAAGCATAATGTGTTGCAATGAATATTTAACTCTTTAATATAACAAATTTTTGTATGAAATGCACAAACAAATAGCTCATATTTCACCATTTATTTACAAAATTGACATATTTGAGAATGTTTAAACATACTGTATATACAAGTTATGATACAATTAGCTCTTACATGAATATTGTCATGGGTTACTACCAGCCCTTATTATAAATACACTTACATATTACAATCAATCATTACTTATTTACAAGAGTATTTACATGTTCAAATCAGTCATTATTATTTGAAACAATCAGCCCTTACTTATTATAGGAATATATAATTGTAAGTCAGCCCTTAATTTTTATTATAAGAATGTGTATGTCATTGTTACAATCAGTCCTAACTTTACAGTAATATTGTAAGAATAGTTACATATGTCACGGTCAGCCCTTACAGTATAAGAATATTTACATTTGTTTCAATCAGCCCTTATTATAAATAAGAGCACTTACATGTTACAATCAACCATGTTTCACAATCAGCAATTCAATAATCCACAGTTAAACTTTTCAGGTTTCTGCAAGCCTTATACAGTACAATTATTAGTATAATTATTCATTAGTTACTTTCTTTGCAGCCGAAAGAAGAGCAGAATCTAGCTTCAGTTGATGGCACTCTAAGCCGGTGAACATATTAATTTTGCAAGACATTAGATTTACCAGTGACTTGTGAGATAAGCTTGACCTAAATAAAGTGTGGATATGTTCCACTATGCTAAATGCATGTTCCATATCACAATTGGAGTGCAACAGGATGAGTAGTAATTTCATGAGCTTTGACAGCTGAATGAAACGGACATCGCCTGTTGTAATGCTCTTAATTAATGATATTCTATGCCAGAAAACATCTGGATGCATACCATTGAAACCTGGAACAAAGGTAGCTAAGTTGCTAGCCTGATAATCAAGTATCTCAGAGTCTAGCTCCATCAAATCCTGGTTATTAAAATACCTAGGAAAACTCTTAGCCATATTATCTGCCACAACTGAGGTAAATTTATCCTGGTTTTGTGGTAATACTAATTTACTATGTACTCGGATAAAGAAAATTTCTCCAATACCTTACTATAGCTTCTAATTAAAAATCTCCTTACGTTGTCATAAAACTTGTTTACAACTTGCTCTGGTAAATCACTAATACTTTCACTCATAAGAAGCAACTTAGCATCCCGTCCTACAACTAAACTGATGTTATCCCACTGAAGCTCAGTGTTATTGGGATCAAGTCCTCCATGCTAGTCAACTGCCGGATGTATTGGGGTTGCACTAGACGAAGTTCAATCCCCCGAAGGAGTTGCTCAACATAGGACTTGACCGGATGCAACACAGATGTCTTTTGTTGAAAGGCAATGTTAAATCTGTCAAAGACCCATGTTACGGACAGCAGAAATGAAGCATAAACTTGCATCCTTGGATTACATAAACGGTTGTGTATGGAGCAACCTTTCCGGTTTTCAGCTCTTGACCTGAAGTATGATTTCAACGCTTCCCATTGCCTTAGTAGGTGACCAAGTGACAGCCATCGTGTGGGGCAATGTTTCTTTACCCTCTCTTGCGCAACTCCACAAAAGTCCTGGAATTCCATTAAATTCCCCTCGCCTTTTGCTGGATTTCTCAAAGTAGTAATATATGTCAGTTATTAAAGTTTCAGGGCATAGATACAATTCCTTGTATGCAGCTTCAGCACATATGTTTACTAGGTGACTTGGACAGCCAACACGGTAAACATCTGGGTTTTTGTCCTTTATCCTAGATAATACAGAATTACGGTTACCGATCATGACGTTACAATTGTCAGATGAGAATCTTACAACAACCTGCCAGTCGAGTCCATGCTTTGTCAGTGTATTATCCACTGAGTCAAAGATCTTTTGCACAGTCCCAAGATTACATACAGGCATGTCTACGAATCCGATACAAACTTTGCCTAGTTGATCGTTGAAGTAACGTAGCAGGATCGCACATTCTTTGCCGCATAGAATATCGCTCGATCCATCCACCACTAAAGTAAATGGGCGTCGCTGCTCTTAAATGTACGAAAACATTGATTTGGATGATTCTGGTTCTAAAAATAAAAAAAAATAAAAAGTACATGAAAAAGCTAATGATAGCCCAGCATGAAGAACTTTTGTTTGATAAAGAAATACAGAAGACAAATAAAGCAGCTAAGACAATAATCTTCTCATCGTAAAGGTAAACAGTTGAACTTGCCTAAAGTCGAAACCAAAATGCCATTGAAAAATTGTTTGACTTAGATAAAATTCGACTTACAGTTACAGATTGTTAATTAATGGAAAACACAACAATTTGTTATGTAAAATAAGATCGATTTAGAAATTATTCAAGTTAGGCGGAGTCGACTTTGGCAAGTTTAACTGTATTCAAATTGTTTCACACTTTTGAGCCACGTACAGTACAGTATCTTTTTTAATTTAAATGTTGGTTTATTATTTTTTTATAAACCAACCTTTGAAATTAATTGACAATTACTTTGGACATTTAAAAAATAGAATAATTAAATGGTCAATTCACAACAAATTATTATTATAGACATTTAGGAATATTCTACACAACCATAAATTATTAATTGATGGAAGTTTAATCCACAAGACTTACCCAGTGCATTCTCTATAATAGCAGAAGTTTTGGTGTACAAACACTTGAACTTCTTGGCCACCAGCGAGTCTGGAAACATCATCTTAAATATCAAACTTGCATGCTCAGCTGACGCAAAGGGGATGTTGTGCTCCACCATAAATGCAGTAAAAATTACCTCTGCTCAAATGACTTGTTCATCTAGTGGATCTCGATGGTTAGCAAACTCATATGTCTTGCAGTGCTCAGCAGAAATGTGCCTTGAGTCCTATACATAAAAAATATTGAAGATCAGCAAACAGAGACCTACTTTAATTTATTATTACTAGGCCTGTCCCTCGAAATCTACACAATAAATTAATTAATTTCTTTAAAAAACACAAATAACCATTTTAAACTTAATTTTAAATTTAGTACTAAAATATCGGATACTTAAGGGCTTTGTGGCAAGCACAGACCCATTTTGAGTGGGCGACAGCAATTTACTACCACGAGTCTAGGGCGTAGGACTCGAATGACTTTTTCTATCTAGCAAGGCCTAGGTTAGGCCTAGGCTACGCCTACAGTAGGTGGTATCTACACTAACAGAGGCCTAGCCTAAAACTAGGCCTATGCCCTCCTAGGCTAGCACAGTATAGTACTAGGCCTCCAAAGAAAAGGAAACAAACATTATACATTTCCATCACACAATACTAGTAAAAAAGTACAACCAGCCACATACCTTTAAATGTCTTTCAACGTCAGCCATTCTGCCTTTCTTTACCGAGATCACAACATTGCAGACAGTACATCTTGCTTGAGTTGCTTCAGATTTTACCTCGATGATACACGGGTACTTCTTTGTAAATTCAGGCTTGAAAGCACATGAATATTTGCGTTTCTTCACTGCAGGCATCTCTAATAATTATTTCTTCGACTACTTTGTGTTGATCATAAACATTCAGGATAAAACTAACTCTTAGGAAATACTTAAAAGTATTTATGTTATACGGTCAAAGGGCGAGGCATAAACAGTCCCACCTGTTGGGATAGGTGGGCGAATCATGCCTGCATCTGAACACTGCTGTAGTATTGTAGTACAAAAGGCTGTTATTTCACTGGACATATCAATTGCAAATTTGAATATACAAAAAAAAGGGAGTGGAACAAACAAGTTTATGGCTGTTTGCAATGATTTATTCAGCATCCTGTATTTTTGAATTTGGGTAAGTAATATAGCTTAGGTAGACAAGGCAAAATAATATTATGGTAATAAAAAAAAATGGGAGATTTTTTTACATGCGGTAGAAAACGTAGTTCTTATGGAAGCGCGGTAAAACGCTGCTAAAAGCGGTAGACTTGGAAGGCCCGAGTCATGGGTATTACCACTCATAGAAAATTGCAATACAATGTGTTGAGAAAGCTCATTAAACAACATCTCCAAAACTGCTTTTTCTTATTTATTTCAAATGACTAGTAGGAATTTTCTTATTTATTTCAAATGACTAGTAGGAAATTCTTGTTAGCACTGTGTGTGGGGGTAGGGGGTGAATATGTGAGCTGTTTTACACAGCCTAACACACCTTAACATTGCAGCGTAGTTAGTAAGTCGAAGACCATCATGCATACCCAACCATGCCATAGATGTGCAGGGGTCTAGGCCTAACATTTGTCGAAAAATCTCAATGCTTGCAGCCAGTATCCTTTAAAACATTGGCAAAACATTAGGGCAAAATTCTTGAGTTTAATTTCCAATCAAATTTGGCATAATTTACTGGGAATTATAATGATCTTTACAGTAATAAACAAGGGACGGCCACGATAGAAATCTCCATATAAAACACCGCTGTGTCAGTGGATTGTTTATATCCAACTTCCATGTTAGGTCATGTGACGCCCATTGCTAAATCCCTCTATTAATATAATGAATTTTTGACATTTAGAAATTGCCACTAATTGAGAATAGAATTTTTTTAAATGTATTTTTTTGTAAATAATAATAATTAATATCAGATATTTTATATGTAATAATAATGATAATAATTTTAATTTTAATCAATTGATTATATGACTGTTATTTTAATTGTGCCTGTTTGTGTTTTTATTCTTCTCTTTGAATATTTTGTATTATCCAATCTGTTACACGATTGCAATAAAGTGAATTATGAATTATGAAATATAATGAGTTAATGTCACCTTTGTGACTCAACTCAACTGACATCAACCGGCCTTTGGCAACTTGCAAGCAACTGTGAGTTGCACGATTTGAGAAGACATGAGCACTCAGATCACCAGTTGCTTTTAGTTGCCCTCAATTGCTCATGTCCTATTTTGCTGCGATCCAAAGCAACTGACAAGTGATTAAATGGTCATGTGACAGTAGTAGCCCAGTAACTGCTGTTAACCTGCTCGTTGGTGACCCTGCTACAACGATTCCAGTCAACTGATAACGGCAACTAGAATTCATTATACGTGATTATTAGCTAAAGGAAGATACATTAATCCACCTTTGTAGCTCCTGTGATTATGGATTCACATGAACGAACGTGTGCGAAAATTGTATCAAATTTAGTAGTGTTGCAGTGCAATTAGTTGTAAATAAGCATCCATAACATATTTAATTCTATTTTGCTGCACATGGTGATACCTATAGGTGCTGACTTTAGTGAGAAAACTGATAATAAATTATTTATTTATTTATTTTTTGGTATAAAATACATACATCCATGACTGGCAGTTAAAAATTAGTAAAAATATACAAATATTATGAACTTGCGAGATGGGTTATTCTCCAGGAGAATTGTGTTTGCTTGTGGGAGTGCGGGCGACTGTTCCAATTTCCGGAAGACCCCAGCGACTTCCAGGACGCTTGGTTCCCCTGATGCACCTACTTGATGTTATTTATATGTTTTGTCCATAAATAAATATGTCAATCAAAAAGATAGATAAATATATAAATGCAAATAGCATACCTGTTGTTTTCTGTCATGTGTCGGTACATTCAAGGCATTGAACTTACGAATCTCTACAAGTAAACGAAAACAAAATTAAGATTAAATTGATGGTTCCATTAAAGTAAAAGAAACAATATCACTTTCCTTTGCTATGCAGTATAAGGTTCCAGCAATGCCTTAACCACATTGTTTTAGAAAATTATATTCCTTTAGTAACTGTGGACTTCAACAAAAAAATTCAGTGGTACCTTTACCAAATTCACTATGAAATATTAAAATCCTTTACCTCAAATGCTTGAACAAATCAAACACAAACTGAATTCACTGCTCCCTCAAAATATAAAACCATGTTTTATTATTTTTTTACTATACCGCATAAATATTTTACCAACAAAATATAAAAATGGTCTTTGTCTTATATAGCCTCATTTGGGAAGGCCTGTAGAAAACTTGCCAAACCATTGCCAGGCATGTGGTAATTAATTGAATGTAGTATGTTTTATCTCCACCTCTGCGTAAACTATGTACGTGTGGACAGTAGACAACAGAGTGAAATTGACAAATGAAATGTTGTTATTACCTATTGAATATATATGAGACAGTAAAGACAAATAAATACAGTGTAATTGCAGGCTGAAAGATTGCCTAGAATTCGAATTAGATATTGTATGAAAGTGCCTAGTCCATAGAAAAGAATGAAATAGATGGACTTATTCGGAGTGAACACCAAGGATAACTCACAAACGTTTAAGGAAAACTTATTTCCAGTGGGTTCTTCTGTTGGTGATAGGGCAGTACACCGAGAGATAATCCCCTACTCTTTTCAGAATTTTGATGCTGCATTCTTTAACATTTACACAGGGCATAGTTCATACAGGACCAACAACATAAATGTCTCATCTGAAAAATGGTGCGCTATCGTAGCTTGCCTTTCAGCCCTCCAGCTGAAACACGAGGAGAGCAGCGATGGGAAATGAACTAGGGAACCTAGAGATCTCCAAGGTTCAGCGTACACACAGTGGCTACCACCTATTTAGCGTACTAAGCTAAGCTTCTCTACAGTGATTAATTCAAATATCAGACATCGCCCTCACTCCCACCATAAAACATTCCTATCCTTATATTTACCGGTATCGTTGAATGGTAGCTTAGCTGTAATTAGTTTCCTGGCAACATCCAGTTTACCACCAAGATCTTCCTCAAGTTTTTGCAGTTCCTGCTGACATCTCTCAGCTGTCATCACTGCGTCTCCAGACTTAAAAAAATAAAATAACTGTTAATAGCAAATTTATAATCAAGAAAGTTTAATTTTACTAATTATCTGTAATACAATTTGCACCAGATGAGCACAGTAATCAGAAAGAGAATTAACATGAATATTATAGAAAAAATATATATATCATCAGGAAACTTGTATTTAATTTTACTACACTTAATTTATGATAATATTGATATAGTATCAATCAAAAATTCTTTGTTGGGTATGATTACAATGACAAACCACAACAATAACTAGCTATGCACACAGTCTGTACTTCATCGAAAAAGTGTGATATTTATATTACAAGTATAATAAGGATGATTCACAAAAATATATTTCTATTTTAGACCAAAACTATGAAGGGTTTTGAAAGGCTGGACTGTAGGCCTACGAGAACAATCCATCACCAGGTTAAGTGGTGAGAACGTCAATGTTCAACCTAGCACTAGCTAAGCACGTAGACTGTACGTCACCATAAAGAAAACACTGACAAAATAATTAACTCACGTTTGAATGAAGTAAGATTCATGAGTTTCGCAAAAGAAGAAAAATAAATCAAAGCCATGCAAGACTAATGCTGAGTCGTGTGGATTGCCGCGGAGAGATCGTGGCCAAACAGAAGCGATACACAGAATTTACATATTCTTTATGCTGAGAAAGTCGTGATCTATCGTCGTTTTTTTTCTCGAAATACACAGTTAGTAAAAACCCATTGTGGATACATTTAGAAATGTTTAACATGATTTTTAAAAACATTGCATGAATGACGAGTTTTAGTACAGCATAATTTCTTTAATTACTGTGCAAAACAATGTAACACCTTTGAGTTTGTTTTGGTAGGAATACCGGACAGTTAATAAAGTCAATTAAAAACAAAATACAAAAAAATGACAATTATATACAACATAATACTAACACAATATATGAGTATAGTAAATGAATGGAAATTGGACATTTTGTGTAAAGAGGATCATGGAATATTACAATGCTTAATTGGTGCACTTAAAGTAATCATATTTACCAAATGTTCATAAATTATTTTTTTTCAAAAATGTAGAATATTAGAAAATATTCATAAAATAGTTTTATAGTTTTTCTTCTTTTTTACCTCTTTTTCCATGTTACGAATCTTCACCTCGAGTCTTGCCTTATCTTCTTGTAACTTCTCTATCATTTCTTTATTTTGTTTCTGGGTGTTTTCTAAGACCTTCTGGTGCTGGCTGTTCTGTGTTTCTAGGACAACGAGTCGATCTTGTAATGCTATCAATTTCTGCTCATGCTCAGCTGAGGACTGGTTAAACTAAACAAAAAAACAGATACAACAAATAAGTGAAAATTCTGGCAAAATTATATGAAATCTTAAGTACAATATAAAATGTAGTATTATAATCAAATTGTCTATACAATAAATTGACAGATATATTCCTCAACACAAATAGACAATCTGGACGAGTGTGCGGCAAATGTAAACATCTGTTTAGGGACATGGAGTGGGAATTCAAGGCCGACGCTCGTCGCATTGCTTGTGTCCTTAGGCAAGATACTTTACCTATGTTTGCCTCTCTCCACCCAGGAGTACAAATGGGTACCTGGGAGGTTTCGAACACAACTGCTCTGATTAATAGCTGCAATATTATGGAATTCTCTCCAGGGAGCTAAGTATGTGTTCCATACGTGTTTGATCCAATGACCGGGGGTAATAATGTGAACTATATAAGACCAACTTATTATTATTATTCTTATTATTATTATTATTATTATTATTGGTATCGCACATTGGATCAATATTCAATCGAATTACATTATTCCTAAAGATTGGTGACAAGTCTCCTCAAACTTCTAGGACTACCTTCCTGAGGATCCTTGCCATGTTCAGAATCACACTTTTCTGAAGTTCATCTATTCTGGTCTCTGTACCGATTTGTTCCAGTCTTTTCTTTAATTTCTTTGGAACTGTTCCAAATTTCCCAATTACAACAGGAATGATCACTGTTTTAATTTTCCATAATTTCTCAGTTCTCTTGCTAAATCCTGATACTTAATCACTTTCTCTGTTTCTTTTTCTTCAATGCGACTATCGTACGGTATTGCAAAATCTATGATTTGGCAGCGTTTACTTTTCTTTTCAACTACAATCACATCTGGTCTTCTTGCCTCTATTACATGATCAGTCTTTATCGTAAAATCCCATAATAATTTACATTCATCATTCTCTAGCACAGACTCATGTTCGTACCATTTTTGATTGACAACAAAACCTTTCTTATTAATACTATTACCATAAGTACCTATTTATGTCAGCTAGGTACCTCAACCAAACTTGTGAGTAATGAGTTATTCTCCTACATTTACCCATCTTTAAGGTTAAGGTTCATTGTAAATCTGGAAAGGGCCAATATTTGTTGTTTTCAGTAATTACTTTTAAGTAATTCAAGAATGTCTAAAGAAAACCATTCATCTCATTCTTACCTGTATATGTAATCGTTCATTTTCCTGAATTTTACTCCGTAATTCTTCTCCGATCACATTCTGTTCAAGTCTAGGGTGAGCCGTAGGCTCAGCAGCTACTTTATTCTGCAGAAAAATAAATCATTAACCAGGTCATGCTGTGGTCTATTGGTTTCACAGGGTGTAGGAATGGGATCAATTCTCATTTGTTTTGTTTTGTTTTATTATTTTTCATTCTGGGCCTGCAACATAAATTCCTAATCGTCTGCAGATCCCAGCAGCAAAATATAGAGAACATAAATATCAGAAACAAAAATCATTGCATTTTAGCTTTCTAACTGAAACACAAAGAGAGCACGATCAAATTAAACCAGGATCTTTATGTTACAGTGCATTCACCTTTACTAACGCCAGATTTGCCGACTGAGCTATGCTATTCCATGGATCAATTCTACTACCTTCATTTCATTTATTTATTCAACCACAATTTACTTGACAAAAAAAATGGAATAGGGACAGTTAAAGAGAAAAGAATCTTTAACCCATGAACGGCCAACTGAATTATGTAATTTGTGTGTCTATATTTATTTTTATCTTTGTTTAATAATAATAATGGTAGACTTATATAGTGCATACTGTTAAGTCCTCTATGCTCTTCACATTATCATTACCCTGGTCATTGGATTAATTAATTAACAATCATTATGAGCCACAGGGTCCTCACCAACGAGAGTGCCGGTCGGCCACTGGGGAGGGGCTGAATCCTGCACCTCACAATTTGGACATAATAATATCAAATAATTGTATCAAACCAAAGTTTGATACACCATAGACATAATCTAAACCAAAGCTTAGAAAGTCTTATAGTAGGGAAGCACAGCTTATGGGAACAGATCAGACGCTGTGAACAATAGGCTCCCCGTACCCACCACCGACTTTATGACGTTATGACCCCACATTCAAAATTCATGAAGGTTTTGATTTGTACCTTTCCTTTCTTTGCCTTTGTCTCGGCAAGCTCCAGATCTTCTTGTAAGATGTTCACCCGCTTGGTGAGTTGTTGGTTCCGAAAGGTCAGACTGTCAATCTCTTGTTCAAATTTACGTACCTTTTGATCTCTTTCCTTAATAGCATCCTACGAAGAGATTAATTAATTAATTATTATTAATTATTACTACACTTTTAGAGAAAGGCAAGAGGTATTGTGGTTGATATACAAAGGGGAAGAGCTAATAAGCGAAAAAAACAATTAGATTTGAGTTTTTGTTTGGCCTATGTCTCTGTTCTCTTCGATTCAACAATCATAGTTCTGCAAAGAGCAAGGTTTTTTATATCAAGAAGTTAAAATAATCACATCATGGCTATATAAGGGCATACAAGAGACCAGAACAATGTTTTGTGTTTTCAATCTTTGCACCATGCATTAAATAAACAAACTAAACAATGAATATTGTGATGAGCTGCACTAGTCTAATACATAAACAGTAAGAAAGTAAAGAGACTATTTTTACTGTTTAACTGTAATGTTGTTGTTCTCCAAATACAATAATGTGGTTGAAGACTTTTTGTTCATGTTTAATTGTGTTTACATATCAAACATCAACCAATGTGTTGGGAGAATGCAAGATATTATTTCACCTTAAACTGTGTATGTTTCCCTTGCTCCTCGATAACAGCTTTCTTTAGAACCTGATTTTGAGCTCGAAGCTGAAAGAAAATAGAATATTTAAAAATATAGTGTAATTAATTTCATTAATTCATTATTTATCATTATTATTATAATATTTAACGGTTTGAGGATGCTTTTTTACTTTCAACTTAAAAAAAAAGATAAATTATGTCTGCTGAAACCTAATTACTATGGAAACCATTGATAGTGGTATACAGTGCAAATATCTGCAATGGAAATAGATACTTCTTACTGACCCTACATTATAATCATGGCACATGTGTACGTTCCGACCCCTGGAACTAAAAATTTGGGACACTTTAGATATGCCCGGGTGAAATGCACCTCCATCCCAAAAATGTCAAAATCTAAGTTTTTTTTTAAAAGAGACAGAGACATTTTTCTGTCTCTATTCAAAGTTACTGTCTTTTTGTTTTATTTAGGACTAATTAGTGGATCCTCTGGTTTAAGTTTTTTTCCATACATGCATTCTGATCTTTTGAGGTGTCAGACACTCGGAAGCCTTTGTGTGCCAACTTTGTTTATAAAGTCAGTCAGTCCACAAAGGAAATGACGGAGAAATACTCAATTATTGGTACCAGAAACGAAATAAATTAGCTATTTTTTGTATTTTGGAGTTGTTTCCTAAAAATTCAGGAGAATTAGACAAAGATCAGGACATCAGATGATTGCATGTAAATTTGGAAGACTCCCGATCAAAAAACAGGAAAGGTTGGAATGTATACACATACACACTTAGCACTGTAAATTATCTTTTTGTGCTGGGGAAGTCAAACATTATCTGTATTTTACGTTGAATAATTGTGAGTGAAAAAGGAAGAAGTAACTATATAGTACTACTATTTACTGATTTTGTTTGGTTTATGTTAAATGTTTATGCAGTTAAATTGCTGTTAAATTTTGTTGAGCCTACTGTGTTCAAGATTTTACACTATAGTAATTCATAAAACTATTGAATTAAACACCCTTATATTATATTACTATTTATGTTTTTTCTCATTCAAAATCATAACCAAATATAAATGTTTTCCGAAGTAATCTGCAGACTACATTATTCACTAATTTATCAATAATGTCAGTAACCATTAATCGTGTGCTCGAAAATCCACAATGCCTAAACACCGAAAATCGACAGTGTCAGAGTTGAAAATCGACAGTGCTTGAAAACCTACACTGCAAAAACAGCATGGAGCATTTAAACACAAAGCTCCATGCAATGTTGTCCCGTTTTTGATGACACGTTTAAAAGCTAAACGTGTTTAGGATCTTCACGTGTTTAGCATTACATGTGCTTAGAATATATAATAGACCTACATAATAACCATGTTATTTTTTCTAAATTTCAAGTCACTAAAGTTGTTAAATGTAATGAATAAGGAATGTCTACATCTATCACAACATTTTAGCAATTACCGTACTGTATATCCAGTTCACGTTTTTACTTCTTTGGTTGTGTCATCTAATAGATAATTTGTTTTTCAATTACAAAGGTCTTTATTAATTTTCAGTTAAAACGTAATGTAGTAATTAGATGTGTATAAGAGACAGCCAGATACACTCTATTACACAATAAGTACGGCTAGAAACAAATAATAGCATACACTGAAATATAAATCAAGGTATAATATATATATTATAATTTAATATTTTTTTGAAACAGAATAAAATAGGTAAAATTTTATTGAAAAAAAAAACCAAACAAATTTTACATTTACGACGTATTGTTGATTTAATATGCTGAATCATTATTAATGGAATATAGGCCTACCTATTATATTTCTATAAATTAATCAACAATTATCTCATTAATCACACTATCGTAAATTGTCCTATTGAAGCATTATTGAAGTATTATTAATTATTCACTAAAGCATTATTCGAGCACCTTTATTATTATTATTATTATTTATTTTTTTATATATTATTTATCAACCAGATTAACATTGAAAACATGAATATGCATATGTGCATAAAATTATCGCAGAAAATAAACTTATAATTTATAAGATTATTTTTTAAAACAGAATCAAATAGACAACGTTTTTATTTAAAAGCAGGTTTTGCATGGACGTAATTTTATTTACTATGCTGATTATTACTATTTCATTAATCAAACTATCGTAAAATTATTATTATTAATATTATTGTTGTTGTTTGTTTATTTTTTGTTTTATGTATATGCCTAGGCCTATATAATATATATTGTATACATTTAATAATTTAATTAGAAATAATTATTTAAACTAATTTTTAAACAAATATAATATAATATTAACAATAATATAGGCTAGGCTAGACCTAATCAATTATTGATATAAAAAAAGGCAAATATTTAGAATATCATTAATACAACACCTTCATGACAGTCCAGCCCTCCAAATCTTGTTTTAATAAATAACTGAATTCACTTCAATGATATATTTTGATCTTCATTCATTATTATTATTATCATTTACTTTTTATTAATATTTATTTATTATTATTATTATTACTATTATTATTATTATCTGTATTATTATTATTATTATTATTATGTCTTGCCATTAACATTATCATTGTTTCTTTGGAAGGCATCTTGTACAGCTGGGACATGTTACATTTTGCCTCACCGGTCTCATTACGTTTTGAGTGAAATAAAATTATGAATTATGAATTATACCAATGTCATATTGATAAAAACATCGATTCGATTAATTAACAGCAGCTTTTCGCACTGTGGCAGCACCGATAGAAAACAGCAACTTTTTGGCAATGCGGCAGTGCCAGTAGAAAACGGCAGCTTTTTGTCACTGCGGCAGTGCCGGTAGAAAACAGCAGCTTTTTTTGGCACTGCGGCAGTGCCGATAGCCACTACCCAAGAATTTAGCCTTTCTTATTTCTGTTGGTTACGCACCACTGACTTGGGTTGTTTGTCATCACTTCAAGATGTCTGCCGATTCGTGGATAAGCCGTTGCCACAATTAAAATAGGCCCAGGCCAGGTCAAATACCCCTATATTTTGTACGGCAGAATATGCCAGGAGGGCCCAGGCAGGTACTTTTCCGACTTGTCGCGGTGGCAGTGCTGCCTGCTCGCGCTCGCGAAACTTTCCTATCGTAATCATGTCACCAAACGCATCGTGTTTTAAATTGCTTTTCGAGTAAAATGTCCAACAATTTACCTTTGCAAATTCCTGAGCCAATTTCTGATACTTTGTTTGTATATCAGTCATAATTATAGAGTAGGCAAAGTATATTTGAAAGCAAAAATTGGGCGTTTCTTCCGAGATTTCTAGTCATAACATAACTCGTCATGCGCCGGCAGCCGGTTAAAGTGCAAAGGTTAGAAATTGACCCGTATCGATTCCGCGACATAAACACATGTGGATGCTGATCGAAAAAGGGCAGACATACAAATTTCAATAGGTAGGGTACATACAATAGTTGTTTTCACCATATAGTATTCTAAGGCCTACGTAGGAATCATGCGTTAATGTCAGTGCCATGCTTATGAGTTTTATTGTTAATGTTATTCCTAGCCAGGCCACCGCAGTGTAGCCTAAACTAAGCCTGGCCCGGGCCTAGGCTCTAGCTAGCCTAGCTGTGTGTGATGGTTCTTGAAAAATAGAGGACACGTACTTGTGGACGTCGAGCTGTCTGTCTACCTTTCTGGGCCTAGCCAAGGCCTAATCTTGTGTAGGACTTGGAGGTCTACGCTAGGATCGTTGAAATAACTAAAGGTCTGGCTAGAGAGCTTGGGCTTCGTTGTGATTAGTGGAGAAAGAAAATGTAAAGATGCATTTAAAATGTGAAGGAGGCCTAGACTAGGCGGATTATGACCGGTTGAGCCGCCGACAAATTGAACCACCGTTCATTTCTATGGAACACCAAGCGCGTCTCTCAGTGAATGTAGTGCGTTAATTGCGGCGTATTTCAATTGACTTATTCGTTCTTGGTACTGTTGTTTGGGATGTATTTCAGTTTATTTACTCAATTATTTCAATTTATTTAATACTCGGTTTTTGCACTGATTTATTAAATATTTTTGGGACGTATTTCAATTTATGTACTTGTTCTTTCTATCGTTTTAATTTAAATTTTGTGAGTATTTGCTTAGTCAGCTTGCCAGATAGTAAAAAAAAAATTCCATACATTCTTATCATTTATTATATATAAGTTCAACAAATAGTACAAAAATAAAAATATATAAATTACAAAACCATAGTAAATACTGTATAATAACATAGGCCTACTGTAACACATTTAAATTTATTGTTCATAGTCATCTGTCTAATTCAGTCGGCTTGCCACATAGTAAAAAAAAAACTCCATACATTCTTATCATTTATTATATATAAGTTTAACAAATAGTACAAAAATAAAAATATATTAATTACAAAACCATATTAAATACTGTATAATAACATAGGCCTAACACATTTAAATTTATTGTTCATAGTCATCTGTCTAATTCAGTCGGCTTGCCATAGTAAACATAGTAAATATAAAACATATAATAAATAATTTAATTAAATAATTTAACAAAATAGTACAAATAATGAATAAGTTAATTGAAATACGCTGCAAACCAAACGTAAATAAACACATTTTTAATACGATTTTGCAATTATACAACTTCATTTATTTTTATAAAAATGTAGTACATAAAATTACATTTTTAATAAGATTTTGCAATTATACAACTTCATTTATTCTTATAAAAATGTAGTACATAAAATAATCAAAATTCTAATTTTCAATTACACAACTTATACATCACGAATGCCGAGTTGACTGCAGCTGAACTTTTTGTGGCCGAGTTAATTTGTGGCCGAGTTGACTTGTGGCCGAGTTGACTGTGGCCGAGTTGGATCGAATTCCCTTAGTAGATGTAAAATAAGAGACTTCTATTTATCTTATTTTGGCGAGCAGCTGATCGAGAAATCATCCCAACTATTTACAAACCAAAGTACCTCTCATTCCTTTCTTTCTAATACTAACTGTAAAACTTCAAATAGAAGCCCTGGGCTTCCTTCTTTTTTAGGAACTTTGGATGGGCTTTCTTCGAGATGGACTTCTCTTCAAGGTTACTTTTGCAAACTGAAAAGGAGGGCTTCTTTTCAAAATGAATGCTACGATTTTATTTTAACGATGCTAGTACAATGAAATAATATTCATACTGACACGCTATCATAAATAGTCAAAGATTATGTCAGTATGACTGTAAGTACTATTTCGAAAGAAGCCCATATTATCTTGATTTGAAGCCCATGGGTTTCTTTTCGAGATTTCGATTACTTATTGCAAACTGAAGCAGGAGGCTTCTATTCGAGATGGTGCTTCTTTTCTAGATTACTTTTGCAAACTGAAGAGTGTAGCTTCTTTTCAGAGATCGGCTCCTGTTCAAGGTTTTAATTAATTTAATAATTGTTTTTTTGTAGGGTACAGCGTATGTCAGCAGACTTTTGGAAGTCTCAGGAACTATTCATAACAAGTAATAGACCACAGAATACAATTATCATTATGCAATGCTTCCAGAAAATGTATATCCTGAAATTCCATCAATTGCAATGCCTCCCTCTGATCATACAGCCCAGTTACAACATGTTTACTAGCTGCAAACTGTTGACCATCTGCAAACTACTTACCAGCTGCCAGCTGTTTACCAGAGTGACATCTTATAGAAGAATTTCCAGGTGGCCAATTGCGTATCATCAAGCCATCTGCAATAGGAATAGATCTGTCGTCCCTTTAGCAGTCAAACCGCTGCTTGTTAGATATTGCAGCAATGAAATTACGAAGCCTGTTCTATTGTACAGGGGTGAACAGAAGAGACTATTCCAGTTCGTCAGTTTCTTTGCCATCAGCCAGTTGATATTTTGGGTTTATTTAACGAACTTTGCGTTCACTTCAATGAAAGACTCTCACATGAAACAAGAAATAAAGTATGGTCCAGAGGGTGCACCAAATGAACTACGAAACTGGACTACGTGGGAGGGAATAAAATTGAATCTCTCTGCATCAAGGTGGAGATATGGAGTCACAGTTTTATCAATGATAGCAGGTCTGTGTACATACAATATTGTATAGCAATATTATAATTAATTAATATTTATTTGGCAAAGTATACATGGATACACGCTCAAAAATGTATGTATATACCGTATTCATTTGAATGAATTTCCTAGGGCCTTTATTGTTGAGAATGTTTTTTGAAGGGGAATTTATTCGAAGGAGGTGTATATTCGAGGGAGCCGTTAATTATGGTTGGCGTAAATTGGATACATATGTATACTACAACACATAATTACCGGCAAAATGTGTTATTTCGTGACTTTTGGTCCGAACTATGTTAGGAAAAATGTAATTCTACCAGAGTAAAACTGTAGCTTATATTTTATCAGTATATCGTCAGTATCATCATCTTTGTATTACCGCCCTCATACAATCATCTGGACTATTTGTTGTTATTACTGTTTGACGTAACATTTTTAATCTACTTATATTTCCAGGTGGAGGGATATTTACACTGGCATTTCTGTATTCCCGAAAGAACATCAACGCTCTAGTGCTACGCCAGGGTGGAAAACATCTCACATTTAAGACTTACGGCATCTTCGCCCAAGGCTACACGTTCACCGTGCCAGTGAAGCATGTATCGTGTGAATACACACGCCACGGCGGACGGAAAACCTTGCCAATTAAAGTGAAGGACCATCGAATGTTTTACACGCTGGACACAGGTGACGGGAAGTTCTACAATGGACGATTATTTGACACATCTGTTACAGTTAGGCGTCATTTTTAGTTTTGAATTGTTGCAGTTTTTACCACTTTTAAAAATAACTGTCTGGGAAAAACCCTTTAAAAATTCAATTAATATCATGAATTGCAAATTTAAATGAAGCAATAATTCACTATCTTGTTAGTAAGACGCAGATCTAAAAATAGTTGTTTTTCATTGAATAAATCTCTATTATTACTATTTAAGTTTGTCAATTACATTATCCATATCTGGGCATGATGTTTTTATATCACTCACACCTATATATAGCCATGATGTCATATAGTATGACACACCTGGAAGTTTTCTTACCTGACTACTAGCAAATTTAATGATACAGGAATGGTAAATTATTAATGCATTTGTTATCAATAGATGGGGCGTTTATTGTTGAGAAGGTTTATTCAAGGGAGGCATTATTTTTGTTGGTGTAATATGGATAACGTGTATATACTCAAATAAATTTCCATCAAAACTTTTTATTGCATGATACAAACCAGGTTAGAAAAATGAAATTCTACTGGATAAAACATTAATAGAATGTGTTGAGAATGATGTTGTCTAAATTAGGTTTTTTTTTTCATTCAGGAGGCATTCAATTACTATTATTATTAACACAGACGGATTTATGTGACAAATTGATTTTCGCATGGTGTTGCACTTTATCAGCACGCACAGAGAGAATCTGTATCACATTTACTTGATGTTGAAGATCGCCCTCTATGTTAACTTTTGGAAGCATCAATGATGATATATTGTAGAGGGCATTTTTCTGCTGGTTTGTAAGTTCATACAGAGGTTAATTATATTTATGAGATAAACAGATCTCTTGCATATTGCAAATGGTAGTCTGAGTGCCAGATTATTTTTAGGAATAGGCCTATTTACTGTGATATAAATGCCAACTTCAAATTCACATTAATTTGGCCGAATCTACTTTGTGCAGAGAATGTATTTACATAAATGTTTAATATTTTGACATGTGTGTCTCAATCATCCGCATTCAAAATCGGATTCTCACAACTTGGCATTGTTGAGCCAACACCTAACTATAGTGGTTGAAAATCAATCCCTGCCTCTTTTCTTTTCATAGGCTCTAAATTCAGCTAGGATATCTTTCAGAATGTTCCGCAGTTTGCTCAAGTACAAGTCCACCCTCTTGAAGAAAAAAATCAGAGCATGTTTAAGTCAAGCACTCGCTGTGTTGTACGATGAATCCAACTCCGCTCCCTAAGGGCGCGAGACAACACCACGCCATCTGCCGATTGACGGTGGCAGTCTGAGCAGGTCACCGTTAAAAACCATCCGTTGTAGCGAATGCTCGGCTTTAGGGAACAAAGAATCATGGGCCTAGGTGAGATAAGTCTAGAGTAGCCCTCAGAGAGACAAGCATAATACCTCAAGAGGCCTAGGTAGATCAGGCCAAAATTCGTACTTGGTTTCCAAAATATCTGAAATCGGGGGGGGGGGGCGCCTTATTCATGAGCAAGTATTTTACAGAACATAACAACATTTAGCTCATAATAAGTCAACTTGTCTTGCTTGGTTTAGTTGGCATACAGTTTCCAAACCCTACTAATTCTACTATACACTTTTCTTTTTTCTATTTTCCTTGGTTCAAAATTTTAATTGCTATTGCAAGTAAGATATCAATAAATTAACCGTCACAAATGCCTAATTATAAATGATTATACAACTAATATACTTGAGAGAAATTATATGAAAAAATATAATTATACCATATTCCACTTAAATTCCAGTAAAATAATTTTTTTAAATGGTTATTAACTAAAATATATCTTACACAAGGACTACTACTAGGAAATTAAGATAATATACAATATATCTTTGGATTTGATGCCGGCCTCACTGCGTTTACCCCTTTAAGCACCTTGTGGAATACAAACCAACTTGTTCAATATTTAATTTTTTATACATTTTTCTATTAATATCCAGAGAATAATTTAGCATTCTATTTAATAAGTTGGATTTGATCATGTTCAGAAAAACAAAATGGCACAAAAAAATTCAGGTCTAGCATTTCATTTTACATGTTATATGCATTGGAAGATCGTCGTAAAATATTATAATACCTTAATGAGCGAAATCGTTAAAAAGATACATGCATAATTAATCAGTTAATATAATAACATTAAATTGACATTTCTTGGCATACAAAATGTCCAAATCATTGGTACATATTTCATATACATTCAGAAAGAAAAGGAATATAATACTAAAAAGAATAATCGTAGAAATAATTGTTGAATTTTGACGAGATTAAACAATTATTTCAAATTATTATCTAAAATTAATTATAGAAAAAATAGAAAATTCATGACTAGATACATTAAACATAATAATAAGCTTTTGTTCATATGGCTTATGATAATTAATATTTTTAATTTGTAATATTTTCTTTGTAAAAATTATTTGAATCTCAATTGAGTTGTTCAGCAGTTCTTTTTTTTTAGATGTAAAGTTTGTTAGTACATAATAATATATAAAGGGTTAAATTAGACAATAATTAACAGTCTTTGTTAATCATCTAATAATTTCCACATGAGTTTCAAACCATCTGAGCAGACTAGATTACGCAAAATAATTTATAAACACAATCAAAATTATTCTTCTTTTTTTTTTGTTCACATAAAAGGTTACATTAAAAATGTGGTAAGGTTTGCATAACATCCATTTCATACATCACAAAAGCAGCATTCCACCATTTGTGCAGCCACCCTCTGAAACAAACCCTGATAATGTACATACATAAAAAAAATCTTCATTAATTTTAAAAACAGACAAAATTTTGCTTTCTAAAATACTTTGTTCATTTGTCCATGACAGAAATAAACCTGGATCTTGGATTGGTAAGAGAAAATATGGAGATGATCATAACAAATATTAAAATATATATATACTGTATATTACATGGAGAGGTAGTGATCCCTTTAGATCCAACCCTCAACCTCTGAAAGAAACCAACAAACAAATATACATAACCATATTTAAGCATTTATTTGTTTACATGAAAACGCATGTATATATGTATATATTATAGACTATAATATATTCATATATGTTTTTGTAAATAAATATATGATGTATATGAAAAATCGTTGGCATGGAAGCACAGTTGTCAGAGAGCATGGGGAAGTCATGAAAGAAAACCACACAAGTAGACGATTTCAGTGTGCAGACGAATTTTGATTCGGGGCTTAGTACTAACTATTAAGACAATTGGCTCTCTCAAAGTGTATTTCTAGTAACGCAACAAGAGCTGGGTAAACTGGCCGAAATTAGCCTCGTCTTATGCACTGACGTTTCTTAATGTGTACATGTTGGTATAAAAACACAAATATCAGAAGTAGCAGACAGTTGGAAGATTAATCAATATCTCGGGCACACTCGCATGTTGACAAATTCACTGTCTGGTATAAATATAAATAATAATTGCTTGCCTTTGTTAGTGTTTCTTAAATTTCATAAAGCTAGTTTTTGCCCAATTTTTTTAAAAATCATTCATTGTTAATCTACTGTGAGACAATTATAAAAAATCCCTAGTTATATAATATTTTAAAACTAAGGATAAGGTCATAATCTTTGTCAGAACACAAAATTCACCTATTATTATTTTAGTATAGCACATTTGTCAAAATTACTCTCTTCTCTGATATCCTTTCCTGTATGATTTCAAAGCTGTCTGCGAGAGTATCCATCTCGGATAGACTCTCTCACGTCTCCATACAGAATCCATACATGGCACCATTTTTCGGAAGAGGGTCAATGCAGACCTGATTTCCATCCTTTACAAAGCTTTGATAATTATAGAATCATCTTGCCGTTATTTGGTTTACAGAGGTCTTGGTCTCAACGGAGGTATTACGTTGGACTCCTGCTAAGTTGAGAAGCAAATCTGCACCTTCCACTGCTGCCGAATCTGCAGTCTCCATTGCAACGGGAGAATCCGAAATGGTCCTCTTCTTGATTGGCAGGCGTATCTTCAGCTCTTTACGGAACCCGCAACCGTAGCCACTATCACCAAGTCCGCAGGATTCCTCGTCATCTTCATCTTCCATTTCAGATTCGGTGCCAACGCTCTCAAAATCGCTCATATCGCTCTCCACCGGATCATCATCTGATGCGGTGTAACCCTTCTCCGTTGGAAGAGCTGCTACCGGAATGGTTCTGCGTACAGCAGAGCCGATGCTATAAGTATGATCTTCTGCTGGTGCTGGAGATGGGATACAGTTACCAGCTTGCCCGTTCCTAAACGAATAGATAATTAATAAGTCAGAATTTCGGGCAAACAATGATTTGCGAACTAAAGCAAGAAATTCATGAGATTTAAATAAATAGCCTCTCAATGACAGGTGTATAAGACAGGTTTAAGTGTTATAAATTATGGCTTTTAATGTTGATTGAATTATTGTGTTTTTCAAGACTAATGAAATTACAATGCTTGCCAAATGGAAATTTATAATCTACCTCATGATATAATCATATAAAAAAAAATCAAACTGATCTTAATTTCCTCACTACAAATTAGTGGTAGGAATGAACAGTAGATTGATTAAATAGTATTGTACTTAGACTGATTAAATAGTATTCGACTTGTACAATTGTGATTTGAAGAAGCAGATACGCGAGTGTAAAAAGGATCGAGTTCTGTATTGTGCATACACATTCTGGAATGCAACGCTACAAATTTACGTCTCCCATTCTCACCCTGTCACTATTACTAAACTACTAAATCCTTTCTGAGCCACTGGGGCTCATAGGGCTGGAGCTTATCCCCAGTTTCTGCAGTGTGAAGCGGATGAGAGTTGTACTCCCCTGGACGGGACACTAGTCCACCGCAGGTTAGTCCCCAGCAGATTGCTGGTACCCATTGATACAGCTGGGTGGACTGAAGCAATGTAGCTAAAGTGCCATGCCCAATGACACTAGCGAATCTGCACTGCGGAGACTCGAAACCCTTGACCTTATGATTGAAAGTCCGAACCTCAACCTCTACGTCAAACTGCCGCTACACCCTGTCACTATACAAGTTGATAATGATCGTTATCAACGAATGCTCTTCCACCACACTTTCTAAAAAAATTCTCTGTATTGCCAAAAGTATAAATTCAATATTTATATTTCTTAAACTTTTCTATAAAAAAAAAAAAAAATAGAACAATAAAATGTTGTTGCCACCAAAGACCAAAAATACTCTACAGACCCTAAAATTCAGTGGCAGGCAAGTTAGGAATTTTCAGTAAAAATAAAAAGTATATAAAACCAGCGATAAATGCTATGGTATCATCTGTCTCTTTAAAATTTAGTGAAAAGCTTGTGGAATTTGTAATTGAATTTTTTTTTATTAGTTTGTGTTATACTTGACCAAAGACCGTATTATCTTGAGGAGGTCTGCACAAAAGTATAAAAAAAACGTAATGTTTTCAAACCCACCTTCGATATCCATCTGTGAGTGCCATGTCTGCTAAGTCTGACAGCGTAGGCTTGCGCTCAATGGTTCCAAACTTCATCGTATTCATTAACACTAGGCCATTAGGCAGAACTATTGAATTGGATAGTGGCGTCTTCATGGTGTGCGCCCGATGCGGTGAAGTCAGCCGATCATCTGTTATGCGAAAAAAGTAATCAAAATTCAGCACATTTCTTCCCGGCATTTAATGCAGTATTTACACATTATGTAAGTTCGTCGATAACATAATTCCTACTACCAAAAATCATAATTTGTAGGGAAAGAGTATAATAATCATACTTGAATCATACCCTTAACTTAGTTAAATTTCAAAGGTTATTCTAATGTAATCCATATTTGGAAACTTATTGATTGAATCCTCAACTTAATAAAAAAATCAAAGCATGATTTCACATTCGCAATCTCGGGAATAGATTTGCTCAATTTACCATGATTAGAAACTTTATGAAGCAACGTATAAATGCTAAATATCATTATTGTTTTAGTTTTAGGATAATGTTTAGCATTTAACTTGAAATCAAAAATTATTCTAATGTACTCCATATTTGCAAACTTATGAATTGAATCCTCAACTTAATAAAAAATCAAAACATGATTTCACATTCACAACCTCGGGAATAGATTTGCTCAATTTACCATGATTATAGACTTAATGAAGCGATATATAAATGCTAAATATACCATTATTCTTTTATTTTCAGAATAATGTTTAGTATTTAATACCATTCTTAAAATTTTAAAGCAATTTTTCCTATAAAAAAACACATCAAACACACTCTTACGAAAGTTATATTCATTCAAAAAAAATTGTTTCATATTCAGTTGTTATTTGTTCAAATAAAGATGCGAAAGCTATTGTAAACACCATGAAAGTTTTATTTGTGTAAAGCAACCTCATTTCTTCACACCGATATATCAATGCTCTTGCAGCCATTGTTCTGATTGTCGGCCCGAGGCAATTACAAATTGGAATTTATCATTACAGCTAAGAGACTGACTTAAAACAAGCCAGAAACTGAAATGAATTACTTCGAGGAAATGTGAAGAAAACCCATCAACATGTGAAGTAAGTTACCCATATCATCAGTTCAATTATTGATAAAAAAAAATAAACAGGATAGAATACATCAAAGCAAATTTTAGGCAGGGTTTGATACAAAATGTAACTAACGTTGTTCCAATCTCTCCTCTGGGGGCGTCTTGAACATCATCATGGTTGCAGCGGCATCCACTTCAACTTCTGCAAAAAATAAAAATATCAAATGATAAGTAGGCATTCACTTTTAAACGAAGCAATAATTTTTAGTCAACATTCAAATGCGCATTTTACTATACATTTTCACATACGTATTCCAATGTGCAGTTCGATAATGCATGTTGCAGTAGCAGTCCAGCCGGTGTAGAACCTGCTTCATGAAAACGTGGACCCCCATCGAGGAAAAATGATTTTCATTTTGTTGGGGACACTGTTTTGAAAATTTGTCTGGTTTTCTATTCTTGAAAGTTGCATACCTCAGGCCCAACCATAATGGACTGAGGATGATGTTGACCCCTCACCGAGGAATAACGCAGTCATTTTAATGGCGAATCGCTGTTAATTTTCACATGTAGCGTTCTTGATATTGCATTCTTCTTCTGTACAACTCTCAAGGCTAGAACCATTCATAAATATATAATTGCAAACACAAAGCTAATGTTGAGATATTCTTATTACTTATATTGCAGCAATTGTGTAGCCAAGTAATGCACTTTCCACCATTTACTAACCACAATGGCAAAACCAGCCATTATTATATTTACTGTCATATTTTGCCATTCGCAATGCAGTAACAACACAATGACACAACCTACATAGGTATACATACAACTGAAATACCACAAAAGCGATCATAAATGACATAATAGCCTCAATTTTCTACAATTACTGACCTTGTGGTGTAAAGATCAGCAGCCTTAAAGTTCTTAAAGACTACGTTTTAGATCTGACAATTGTCAACAAACGTCAGACCTTTGTATTTCCCCGTACTCAATCATTTATCTATGTATATAAAAAATGAACACATAATGGTCTATAAAAATGCAGTTTGCCAATTAAGATGGAGGACTCAATGCCATTCAGGAACACTATCACAATATTTTTGGCTTTTTATGAGAGTTTGTAGTCAGTACTTTGAGATGAACCTGGCTGTCACACGCTTGCTAATGGGGGCGAAAGGATTTAGGGTTGTACTAATAGCATGAACAGGAAACATAGGTGTAAGCTCCTCGCCGTTACTATAGCCTTTTATCCAACAAGTACAATGTTAAAACAATCTGCAGTTAAATTCGGGAAAAATATTCCGTACTCTTCAAATATTCAATTAGAACATTGAATTGCTATTTAAATGGCAAGAAAGGTATTTGCATAGTTCTTATTTGATAACTAATAACATATAAAATACAGGTTTCCCTCCAATTTTAAGACCACTTTTGGGACAGAGGTTTGCATGGTCTAGCAGCTTTGGTTTCTAGTTAGAATAATAACAATAAGACATTTGATAATATGGGACCACAGAAAAGTGGTCTTTAATTGGAAGTCATCTAAAATAAGGAGACCTGTAAATATAGAAATTTAACTTTTGTTTCAAATTTCCAAGTTTATAAAATTTACAATGGCAGAATATCTTTTAATTTATTAACAGAGGATTTAAGGATGTATGAAAAATATATATATACTGTATATATTTACATTTAAAAAATTGCCCAGTTATTGAGTATGTAAAGGCTGTTTAAAATAATGCACTAAGCAAGATGGTAATGTTGTTAATTGTGGAAAAAAAATTTAATTTCTAATAGTAATGATCATATGTACACAGCCTCGCTCGAGCTGTAAGCCAAAAAGCTGCATGGTCTTATTATACTCGCGATAATAATGACAGAGTTTTGTGAAAACAAGAAACCAATGGTATTTCTGCGAAAGTCCACCTGTATAATGTATGGTAACCTGTTGTCAAATGAACCATTTTTCCCACGAGTTATTGGAATTATTTTTAAAACAATAAATAAAATTGAGTTTATAATAGCTATTAATTTCAAAAATCCAAGTCTGCTGTGTTTATAATTATTATTAAGAATCAGTCGTATTAGCTGACACTAAAGTTATTTAGATTTTTATTTATTCACTTATAAAACTGACATAATTTTCATTTTTCGATATTCACATTTATTTGTACTGATTGAAAAATATATCAGAAATCAGAAGTCAGATCCTGGACACAACATCAATCCATCTCTTGATAATGTTTTACTGTCAGAATTCGTTCTTATAATCAAATAAGACGATACTCCAAAGACAATCACACCGTTGCAATCAGCAACAAACATCGTTAAGTGATGTACTGTTTATATCGTGTTTGACCGTAACCATGACGACAGAGTGTGGATACAAGTAATAAATGCGCTTAACGTAAATCCTTCTTCAAAACTGCCTGTCTCAATATTCGGTAATGCGAGCCATTACAAGCGTTTCTTCATATTTTAAACCACGATACATTATAAAATCCAAACCATGTATGCCATGATAGATGATCCACACAGGCAAAAATTATACAATCACTTTGAGTAGTTTAAAATCAATCTCATTCACTTTTACTATATCACTTCGTATTACATTTTTATTTACATATTATTACCAAATGTAACTTAAAATAATATGTATCTATACTTTTAATTGTTAATGGAATGATAAGCTAATATAGATTACTGATTATTTAATACTATCTTCTTCCCCACCCTCCCCCCTGAATGAAGATCAGAGTTGGAAAAACATGTTTTAAAAATGATAAGGAGATAGCATATCAGTTACAGCATTTATTTTCTATTTAACAAACGGTATCCAATGACATACCTTATTCTAACTATTATACCTATAGAGCTGTGTCGATAACTACTCTGCAAGAGGATCCAAATTAATTCATGTTGCTTTCTGATGTTTCATGAAGAGCAATTAGAACTACACTCCATAACATTTTAAATGATCACTAACTTCTGATCTTGCAGTCATGGATAAAAACCTTTTGATAATTCAGCATTAAGTTGCTTTGAAACTGTAGAGAATAGTTCAAAGAGAATAACTGGAACAAAACTGACTCAAGGGATAATGTGGGATTAAAATATAGTTTGTCAGTCATTAATTCAAGACCACGTTTTGGGACCTGATATTTAGGGGTGTCTCTCGGTATGGTCTCTAATTAGAGGGTTACATTTGTGTTAATCTGGTGGTAGCCACTGTGTGTGCGCTGAAACATGAAAATCTCGCTGCCTCTCGTGTTTCAGCTGGAAGGCTGAATAGTTACGGTACATTAGCGCACTGTCTTTCGGATGAGACGTTTAAGCCGTTGGTCCTGTGTGCGTTTATGGCCCATGTGCATGTTACAGAACGCAGCTACATTCTTCGGAAAAGAGTAGGGGATTGTCTCCCGGTGTACTGCCAATCACAACCACAGGGACCCCACCAGAAATAAGTCTTCTTCTATACTTTCATGGGCTATCTTTGGTGTTTACACCAATTAAATAACCCAATCCAAAAACACTAGTGATTATCGGTATACTAATCAAGGTAATAAGTAAGCGGTACCAAAATACTTTAGTGATAGTTGACGGTACCAAAATACTAGAATGATGGTCAACAAAAACACCAGAATTAGGACTGCTGAGAAAGACACAAAGGATGACTGACGGCATCAAAAACAAGACAGATGGTTGCCAGTACCAATCACCAGAGGCATGGTCGATGGCAGCAAACACTAGAGTAATGGTTGATGGTTAATACAATCAATTAAAAAAACTTTATTTGTAGTGCATACAGACAGTAGGACTATGCAAACGAACCGTTTGAAAATATACAATTTCAATTTTGTTCACTACTCAAGCCAACAAGAGCTAATATCCGCGTCAAACATCAACCCGCAAGAACAATGACAATAATTTAATTAAAGACAATTTGCAAGGAGTAGCATTCGGGTAGGGTCGATGCCTAAAGCATGACAGCAAATATTACGGCAGAATTATTTGAACCATGGCTGCCAGGATAGATGTGAAAACAGAAATGAGATGAAGACCGAAAAAAGTAGGACAGGTGCTTGGATTGAGAATTCAAAACTGGGGGTGGAGGGGGGGTGCGGAAAATTGATAAAGCGGAATAAATTGCTACTCCAATAAACCAGAGCCTTGCAGGCGTCAACGTTCCTATGCATGATACACGACTTTTAGAAGTATATATA